CAAATGATATAGAATTTGCTGAGGATAGTTATGAATCTGTTATAACAAACTTGGATTCATTAATTAAATGTATTGATTGATCTACTATCCAGAAGGTTTGGTGTATAATGACAATTGAACAAAATAAAGAACATTTTATAGTAATTTATGAAAATGTTAATCATTTGTGCCCTGTATGATCTTGTAACAAAAGGGCTTGTTTGCCATTATTTTTTTTCTGTAATGCTTAATTCAAATAAAGCTATGTTTCACATTGGTCTTATTCCGGTACGATGATACAAAGAAACAACGTTAGACCCTCAAAATGAAACTGTGATTACTATTGCTAGTAAAAAGGATAGTAGTAAGCCTATATATAAGCATCTAATTAAGATAAATTATAGCTTCCTTAATTAGATTCAGCATATACAAGCAATTTTAGAAACTGTTAAACAGAATCTAACTTGTCAGGCAAAATATAACCAAGGCTTTGGCTATGCAAAAAAAGCTGTTGAGTTGGCTCTTGAAACTGGTTATAAAAATGAATTAAACAAACTCCTACAAAATTGGATTAAAGAGACAGAAAGAAAGATTCATTACAATTTAAATAAACCTAACAAGGAGAATTTGCCAAATATAAGCAATCCTTATTTAACTCATACAAAAGGTGCATCTAAAAAATGTATCAAAAGTGTATTTGAAAACTCTATTTCTAAATATTAAGGTAAAAGTGTAACTTATACTGCTACTAAAAATTTGCAAGATTTGAATTATAGATAAGTAATTTAGTTTGTTGTATTTATTATGATAGCAGTGAGTTTATTCATGATTTATGATAAATAAATTAAATTGTAGAAATAATAGTGATAAGCGATCTGAAGAAGCAAACCAGCAAAATGATCATGAGAAGAAAAGTAGTAAATATGTATGCAGTTATTGTAAAGGTGTTGGACATAATTTTCGTACTTGTGAACATAAAAAATTATAATAGTTGGAAGCATTAATCTTATACTTTGGAATATATGATGCATGCATACAATTCATCTAACTATATATATGTTTTAAATACAATGTAGCATAAGTTAACCAACAAATAAAAAAACTAAAATTGTGTATTTTGCTTTTTATCTATTATAGTGAACAATAGCGCTGCATATAGTACTTCTAGAATAGTATTCCTTCTTTTTTTGCAAGCAATTTGTAGTCTAGTTTTCATATTAATAGTGCGATCCTTTTATTTGGTTTGATATGTTTAATAACAAAGTATATAGTGATCAGTAATGATTATTTGTTATACTTCTATCTTTCGATATTTGGAGGTATTATTCAATCTAGACCAGCTTTTTTGTAAAATACCTGGATACTGTATGCAACCCTATATGGTAAATATTTGATATAATTATATTAATAAAATAATCAAACAAGTATTCATCATGTAATATTAAAATTTTATTAATGATAGGAATTAAGATAATATATTTGAAAGAAACTTTATTCAAACACAAAATTAACTATAATCTAAACTTTAATCCTTGAAGTTTTCAATCAAAAACTAAGAGATTAATACAACTATCACTATAATAGTCTCTTTATAAAACAATAAAGTCATTAACTCTCATAATGCACAATAAGCTATCTTAAATATAACTATATATGAAAATAGTAGAACCTGTTTATTAAAAAAAAAAACATTTAGTTTTTATTATATCTTAATACTAAAATCCTGACTTTGACTTATTAACATCAAGATCTTGAAGCCTAAAACTACTTACCAAGTATTTCTTCATATTTAAGAAGTATATTGAGAGTTTGCAATTTATTTAAATATAATTAGAAAGTTATTATTACTTTCAAGCTTTTTTTCTCAAACCAAGTAACAATACTTTTTGAAATTAGGAATGCTAATACTTATTATATATTATGATTATTCTAGCTTGAACTGTCTCTAAATAAAGTATACTTAAGTTAGGAGCTTAAAGTTTATTTGTAAAGAGTATAATAGAGCGGTTACATTTTTTAAAAAATACTTGCTATATACTATTTTACATATAATGGGGCACAAAAGTACAAATTGCTTAAGTTCAATTTATAATACATATTGGCCAATCACGAATATTTTTCTATATTACGCCATATGATTTCTGTTGTATAACCTCTATACTGTACTATATTTATATATGAATTGTGTAATATACCATATATATAATCATATGATTTGAGATGAAAATCATCTACAGTGACGATCATCTGCGGTGAGATTTAGCAATTCCCTATAAAAAAAATATATTTGTTTAGATGACTCACGATTTGTTTATTAAATATATTATTGAAATTTTATTCAGCATCTTATTCTCAATATTCATTCCAGATACTATTCGGTGGTATTAGGAATGAAAGTTCAATATTAATTAATCCATTTGGAGACCAATTCAGCTGTTTGTGAATTGGTTCAGAAGTATTTAAGTCAACTATGTCAATGTGGCATACAAAAAGCTCTTTTATAATAGCAAATTTTATTAATCAAGATGGAGCTTCTTGTGATATATATGTTGGCCAAATACAATATT